CTATGTAAGAGGAGAATGAATAATCAACTAGGGGCACGAGTGGGATGGGAAGGGAGTAAAGACAAAAAGGAGTCAGGCAAAGGACAATAAACTGTTTGGATGTGGTAGGCTGAGGCAGGGAGTTAAAGATGACTCAGAATTTTAGATCTAAATGCCTGAGAAAATCTCATAGTAATCTGAATAAGGAGCACAGAGCAAAGGGCAGACTTTTCTGGAAGAAATGATATGCTTAATTTGGGATGCATGCAGATGTTCACCATGCAAATGCAAAAACAGAAATAAAAAACAAAATACCTTTAGTTTAGAAGAAAGTTTGGCTCTGGAGATTGAGAAGGGGAGAGTCCTTAGGGTGAATTGTTGATAATCTGGAGAAAGCTTCAGATGACTAAAGGAGAACATAAAGAGAAAGAAAAAAACGAGACAAGAATAGTCACTGGGGAACAGCATCTAATTTCATGGGGTTTGGAGTAAAATGGCATCCAGAGAAAGAACAATCTGAGAGGTAGGAGGAAAATAAAATTGGTCTCATGTCTCTAGAGTGTTTGACAGTCAAGAAGGTACAGATACTTTCGAGACTAAGATCTTGGAGAAAGCTGTGCTTTTTGCCAATGCTGGTTGTCTGGAATGCACACCTTGCCCCCACCCGTCTCCATGTAGCCAATTCCAATTTATCCATGAGGCTCACTATAAATGCCACCTCCTCTGTGAAGTCATCCTAGGCCATTTCCTGAAAAAAGATAGTTCTGTTCTCCCTCTGCTATAGGAATTCTCACTTTACATTACCACTGCTTTTAGTCATGTGGTCACATGGTAGACATTCTTTAAGTGGGTGCCAGGGCTAGCACTGAAGGCATAAGAGAAGGGCCTAGTTTTGCTCAGCAGGAATGATACTTTTCTTCTAAGGCAGACCGGAAGGAAAGACCTCTTGGCTCAGTATCTAGGACCTACAGGTTTCCCAATGACTTCAAAATTATTTGAGATCCCAAAATAAAAACAAAACAAAAGAACACCTCCAAAATTTGAAAACAAATGTGAAAGGCAAAAATAAATGTTTAAATATCTATAAAAGTTGTTATCTCAAATATTCAGCCATAAATCTTCTATAATCTCAAACAAATGTGATTTAATGTGGTATTTGGGTGCATTAAATACATGCATAATATACAAACAGGCTTAGTATGGTTTGAGGTGATGCATCCAACAGTATGCCCAGAACCCGGGAAGACGTTAGACCATCCGGAGAGAAGCCCCTTGGAGGAATTTTGAAGTAGAAATGAGGGAAGAAACAACACATACTTTACAGGTCCTCTATATTGGCCACTTTATTTCACATACATCACTAAAATAAAGGCATGAGGTTCTGGTAAAGACAGAGAAAACAATCCTCTAAAAATGTTCTATTCCTCGAGCCTGGTTATTACCTTCGATGCATCCTTGTAACACTTGTAGCAGTGACTGACATGGAGGCAGGTCTACCTTGACCTTTAGGAATGGAGCCCATTCATCTAGTGCCCTAGCAGTCTAGTGATCTCAGTCCAAAGCCCACAAATAACTAATTGTTATAAAAATGTTTAAATTATTAATAAACACATATAGGAAAGCAAGCTCTCAACATCCCACAAAGAATAATTATGATGGTTTTAGAAACAAGCTATGACTTGCCAGAAAACTTGCTAGGCAACTTCCAGTCCATAGCAAATCTATATACTTAGTCTTGTTATCTTTATATTAACAAAATAATAGCAATAAGGCTCTGAAAAGATGTAATTCCTATATGAAGCCCTAAGAGGGTTTTTATGGAGTGAAGCAATCAGAGGAAGGTAAGCAGTGGCTTTTCCCTTAAAAAAATTTCAGTGGAGTTTTTTTTATTAATTTCAGATTTAAAAATTATTAAAAATGAGACTACATGTACAAAATATAATCTCATTTATGAAAATGACAGCCTAAAATCCTATTTCAAACCCAATTTTCAATACATGGAAGTTGTTCCTGAGCATCTGAGTCATATTAGGATATTCTTGTTAAAATTACCATAGTCTGTGGAGAAAATTAACTTTCTGAAGTATCCCACAGGTGCCAAAATTATAAGCTTTTTTTAAATTAACATTCAGTTTTCTGAAATATATTGCTGGGTCTTCCTAGGACTGTGGCTTTAAATAAAATAGGCATCACATGTATTAAATGTATACAAATTTGAACTGTACACAGTTTTTAATACAACTATGGTACAATAATTTTATCTTAATGTATCCAACATTATATCAATCTCTCTACATATGCATCTTTCTCTCTGGTTATTTAAAATGAAATGGCTCACAGGTGTTTTATTAATGTGTCTCTGAGAAAAGAAAGGCAGTTCTTTTCTGCCACATTATTTTCAAATTTTCATCATGAAATCGCATCTATGAAAAGTAGCCATGGAGGTGGGGAGGGGTGAATGTTACGAGAAACCAAAGTGAAGAGGCAAAAATAAAGTCAGAACTCTAAAGATCATTTCGAGGGGCAGATACAAGGCCAGGCTAAATTTTTTGAACAATCAAGCATAATCTTAACCTCTTATGTGTTGTTCTGGATATAAAGATGTGGCTTGGAATTATCTCCCTTCCCTGAAACCACACCAGAGTGTCAAGAATATATGTCAGCTTCCTCTAACTGCTGCGGAGTTGGCAAAGAGGCAGGAGTCATGTGGAGTGACAGGGAGAGTCAGCCTGGCAGGTCCTAATTGCCCTATTTGCTCTTTAATGGTTTTCTCTGCTGACTTCCGTTTTGTAGAACTTCTATTAATGATCAACAGGCTATATGTACAAGGTACTTACTGTGCATTTAAAACTTTTTAGACTACTTATAGCCGCTTGCACATTTGGGAGGAATTCCATTTGCAGAGACCAAGCTATTACATTAGTTGAGCGAATATACATTTTAAGGAATGCATGTTAATGAGACCAAGTGAAATCTGGTCATTTGAACAACTGACCAGGCATGCAAATGCTCGGGCTCTGTGTACAAAAGGAAGTTCAGGATTGGGTTGTTGATTTGCATAATCGAAATAATTCCCTTTGTCCTTTTCTTCACTCTGACCATAAAACTCGCCAGACCATGGAGGAGGGTCTGCATGTCAATCAGAATGATGACACATTGGAAGCCTTCTTCTGCCCCAGATTTCAGGTAATCTGGTTACCTGCTCTGTAGTGGGAAGAGAGTGCCTGGTATGTTAGACCAATTGAAAATGTTCTCCTGTGTTCAGATCAGGGAAAGAGAGAGAGTCAGAGTCATCACTTTCCACAGTCCTGAATTCTGGAATATGCTGGCTTAGTTCAGAGAAAGGGTATAGAAGGGAGATAAAAAGAGTGGATGGGGTGGGAATTAGGAGAACAGGTTTTCAATCTAGGCCTTGTGGCTCCTTAGTTGCGTAACACTGATCAATCATGTCCCCTCTCCAGCCCTCAAAAGACCCCAGGTAGAATGAGCAGGGGAGCTAGGGTGAGGCCTAGGGAAGAAATCTGGGTCGGATGGTAAAACGACTTCTGGAAGCTCAAAGGTGACCAAGCTCATCAGAGCAGGTTTGGGAAACCATGCTCAAGTTGGATGGAACACATGAAAAGACCATCTTTATATGACAAAATAAATGGCCGTTTTATATGGTTAAATTCAGCTGTAAGGTATCTATTTTGCTCGAGTGTCCTAACTAGGTATCCTCCTCAGTAAAAGGGTCTGGTGGGAGTGGCTGTTTGGAGAGGTCTTACAGGTACTGATGCCAATCCCTTTCAAAACATTCTATTACCTCCTCAAATGTTGGCTTTAAAGAGCAAGTTTACAGGTAAAAAAACAGGTATATCATTTGATACTTAAGAACTGCTTCAAAATATTTAATCTGATTGAGTCCTCACAGTCCTATCAGCAAATAAACTTTATCATATCTTGGCTCCCACCCTGTGGCACCACCCTATTTATTCCCCATGCATGGTCCATTCTTTTTCTAACTTCCTAATTGGCTTTTCTGTGTTGACTACTTGTTCAAGGGTATTTCTCAAGGTTCAAGCCTCATTTTTTCCTCTTTTCTACTCCAGAGACATCATTCTTTTTTTTTTAATTTTAAAGAAATAGCGCACATGAGTGTGAGTGGGGGAGGGGCAGAAGGTGTGAGAGAGAGATGGGGGAGAGAGAGAGAGCGCCAGCGAGCGCACCTCAAGCAGGCTCCATGCTCAGCACTGAGCCTGACATGGGGCTTGATTCCATGAGCCGGGATTGAAAGAGCGGACCTAGACCGGCCGACTCCATTTTGTTCTGTGTCCTCCATCTTGAGTGACTATGTCCCCGACATGGCCCCCTTTCCGGAAAAACCGCAGAAAGAAATTCCCGCTCAAACCTCAGACCATGCCTCCTCCCCTTGAGTAACTTCCCACTCACCCTTCAAACTTCCCGTTCAAACCACGCCTGGCAACCTGCACAACGGGACTCTGATCCTTCCCCAGCCAATTGGCTAAGGCCATGACCATCACCCCCCCAACTGCCCCTAGACCCCTATAAAACCTTTGTGCTTTTGAAACACGCTCTCTCTCTCCGGCATCTCACCGCTGCCTTGGTGCAGGTAGGGGATTGAGCTCAAGCTAGCTCGAATAAATAGGCTCTTTGCTTTTGCGTCGGACTCGGCTCCCTGGTGACCTTTGGGGATCACGAATTCTAGGCATAACAGGATCATGACTTGAGCCAAAATCAAGAGTGGGGCGCTCAACCGACTGAGTCACCCAGGTGCCCCATCATTCATTTTCACATGACCTTCACATTTTTATCTCCTACCTGGACCTTTTCCCTAAAATCTATTTCTACCATTCAAACTGCCCACCAGACACTTAGTACTTAATTTTCCAGCATTGTCTCCAACTCAACAACTTTCTAGCTAATTCATCATTATCTTATCCCTCTTCCCTTCATCCCTTGTGGCTCCTCCTTCTGACTTTCCACTTCCGTTAATGACATCATCATTCTCCCACTTACCTAAGTGCAATGTTTCCATCATCTTGACCTCTTTCTCTCTTGTCCTCCACATTTCATCAGTTATCAAGGCCTTATGATTATTCTTTCATAATTTCCCTCCACCATCGGTGTCATGGAATGGAAGCAGGAACTGGATAATTCACCCATTATTAACTGAAGACACTGTTACCTCACTAGCCTAAGGAACGCTCAGATAATTTCCTCCATGTTCCATGGCATTTGTGCCTTAGACTTTCCCCTTTGAGTGCTAAGAATTCAAGATCATCAGATGAAAACCAAGCAAACAAAGCTTCCCTGAGGGTGTGTGGCTTATGGTTGCTGGGTTGGGGAACTGAGGTAGAAAGGGGCTTTTGTACAGATTACTTAGGGGATCCAAACTTTAAATCTGCAATACTAAATAAATGGAAAACCAAGGAATTTCAAGGAAGAGTAGAAAACTCTACAGAAGAAGATAGATTTGGCCCTGAGATCACAATTTGCTGCAATTTCAAATATTATTTTAGCCCTCAGGACAAAGAAAGTGATACATTGCAAGTGTCAAAAAAAAAAAACAACACAAAACTACACCATTTTCTTTTCTATTTCTTCTTTCTGAGCAGAGGTATAGGTATAATTTACTGCTTCAGACTGGGCTGATGGGGAAAATAAAGTAAAATTTTACATAAGTAATCTCAGTTAATTAGATGACTGGGAACATAGTACAAATATGACCCTGGACACAATGGACAAAAAGTGGGCACCATGTAGATGCTTAACACCTTTAGGTTTCAGTAATTTGTTGTAAAATTATTACAATAATCAAGTATGCCTACAGTGCATGTAAAGATTATAAGGAGAGACTAAACCAGTAGACAAAAGGACTAAGCATATTGACGTGTACATTAGAGAAAGCAATGATGTGTAAGTTATCATAACCATGTATGCCCAAGCAACGATTACTGCCTTCATACCCTGGCATGTTATTTACAAAGAGACAATAAAGCACAGAGTTCAAAGAAGAAAAACTCATTCTGGACAGATTTGGATTTGAGTGTTTTCTTCTGCAAATTACCATGTTACTTAATTTTTAGACTTTAATTTCTTTATTTCTATAAAATGGGAATTAATTATGATGTCTACTTCACAGGCTGTGAGGATTTAATGAAATGATGCATGGAAAGCACTTAGCTTTAGTAAACTTTAGTAAGAAAGAACAATTACTCAGAGTTTTTATTACCATTAGCATTCTGTTTTCATGTAAATATGCATCAAGAAATCAAGTCAAGCTGTGGACAGTGCTGTTGCTTTAGGCAAATCCTTGTACTTCTTAATCTAGAATCATGGATACATAGGTGGAATATAGGTAGATGCTGGTGAATGTTGCTTGGTGAATTGGTAATAGTCTTAGGAGATGAGTTTAGAGCTCTTTTGTCCTTAAGCACAATAATTTAGTGTGCTTGAACATCCTACAACACATTTTAGCAAATTATCATCCATTTTGGCATATTACCCTGCCGAGTGCTTTAATGAAAGCATGATGTTTGTCAGCTCTAAAACTTAGTGTGAGTCTCCTTTGAGTCTGAGAGCCATGGTTGGTATCTAGGCAGAGGCAGATCTCCCTAACATCTTCTATATGAATGGCACAGTGGTTCCCAAGGAGAAGAGAGGAAGATGAATATCTCAACACAACCTACTTGAATTGTTACAGAGGCAGTTCAAAGGGCACCCCAAAGGGAAACAGGTATTCCAGGAGGGAGGGAGGGAAGGACGGAGGGAGGGAGGGGGAGAGAGAGAGAGAGAGAAAGAAAGAAGGAAGAAGAAGAAGAAGAAGAAGAAGAAGAAGAAGAAGAAGAAGAAAGAGAGAAGGGGAGAGAGAGAGAGAAGGAAAGGGGGAGAGGAGGGCATTCTATGTTTCCTTCTAGTGAGATGGAAGGAATGGAAGATTCTCTTTTCAGGGACAGCATTATGACATCAAAATATTAATCATCCGACACTGTACACAAGGTGTTGGAGGGGAGAGCATGAAACCTCAGTCTTTCACAAGGAATAGGCTTAAAAAAGTTTCAAGGATTTTTTTGCAAATTATAAATACACTTATTATTATTTATTGCAGAGATCAGCCTTCATTAAAGTTAAATGCACAGTTAATGGGCTACGTTGTGCTTTATCTTTTGCACCCTCATTAAAGTTGAGGGTAGACACATGCATTCCCTTAAGTATGCTAGAAGGCAAAATGATTTCAGTTTTTTTTGTATTGTTGCTTCTGTTGTTTCATTAGTAGCCAACTAATTGTTCCTAATGAATTATCAAAGGCACTAACAATATCTGGGTTCTTCTTTTCCACTAACTAGCTCAACTATAGAAAACTTAGTATTTTCTGGGAAGTTTTTTTTTTTTAACCCATTTCTTCTGAACTCTAGTGAACTCAAAGGGATTCCTCCCACACTCCAAGAACAGCTAGAAGAAGGAGGGAGGAGAAGGTCAGAAGAGCACAGGGGTGGTAACAGCTCTTCTGAGCCTCAACCCAATGCCAGAGAAGGAGGTCCAGTAAGTAAATCAAGTCAACACCACCCCTCCCATTCCTTTGCCCTTTTATATGCAACTGTTAAATTAGCTTTAAGTTCCCTGAGGGTAGGAATAAGGTCTACTTTCCAACTGTGTTCAGGATCTAGCACCTTACTTAATGTTAAATAACAACAATGCATTTTAATTGGCCTACTTTCAGAGCACCAGATCAAATTATTCTCCTAATTAATTGGTTGATCTCATATTTCACTTATATTGTCAGGTTATTATTTTTCCCTTTAGGGCTCAAGACACCACTGACAGTTCAAATACTTCTTCATTAATTACCATGTCTTAGATTCCATATAATCTTATTATAATTATTCGGTATCACATTTATTGGGGACCAACATGTATTAGGAGCGATTAAGAACAGAGAATTAGTTTCAACTTTTCCCACCTATATACACACCGAGTTGATGCTCAAAATCTGATGGAAGGTGTACTTGGCTTGGCAGATGAGAGGCCTCAATTAGGTTTAATTGGGCAGACATGAAATCAGTTTCGAAAAAGTGATCGATAAACATTTTATAACGTTGGATCAAGTTTCTTTTTCAGCAGCTAAACATTTCTTGTTAACTGGTTCATCTTTTCTTCCTTGGGTTGCTGTGATACCCAACTGACCAAGCCCCACACTATAAGGGGGAACAAGGCAAACCAGTAGTTTTCAAGAGAAAGGGAGGCAGGAGAGAAAAGGGTTTGAAAATCAGCACAAGACCTTTACAGGGTTAAAGGACTCTGTGTGTTTAGTCTGGAGAGCGGATGTGAATATTTAAGCCATGTGAATATTTAAATGAACTTCCATGGACAGGAAATGGGTTAATTGCATATAACAGAACAAAGTCAATGGGTTGATGTGGCAGAGAAAGAAACTTTTGCACAATAGAAGAAAAACTAAACAAACTTTGGAATCATATATACACTGGGTACCGTAATACACATAGTACCTTGTCACTCTTAAAAAGATATTAAAGAAGCTAGATTTTTTTTAATTCAAAAATAATTATGAATGCCTAATACACGAGACACATTTATAGACAGACATGAAAGGAGGTGGGGCACCTGGATGGCTCAGTTGGCTAAGTGTTGGACTCTTGATTTTGGCTCAGGTCATGATCTCACCCATTGTGGGTTCAAGCCCCGCTTCAGCCTCTGAACTGTCAGTGTGGAGCCTGCTTGGGATTCTCTCTTTCCCCCTCTCTCTCTCTGCCCCTCACCTGCCTGCCTCTCTCTCTCTCTCTCTCTCTCTCTCTCTCTCTCTCTCTCTCTCTCTCACACACACACACACACACACACACACACACACACACAAAAGTAATAAACTTAAAAAAACAGATATGAACAAATCAAACTACAGGC